GGGTTATCTTCATAACTACATGACCTCTAGATACACACGTGCAGATTAGGCAAGTCACAGTTGGTGTGTCCAAGGTTAAGATGATGATGATCAAACCAGTGGGATGTCTTGTCTGTATTTGGTTTTACTTCTATGACGCAATATATACGTAGTAAAAATTTTGATTTCATCATTTAATAAACTATATCCAGTGGAGAATGCTTTCTCCTACGGTATATCACAGTACCATCGTGTTCCCTCTGAAACCAAGCAACTGTTTACAAAAACCTCTAAATTCTAAAAGGCACCACAGTAGAGACTGCAGTGTCGCAGATGTGAAAGCCAGATGTTTGGCTGTGCTGTTCGGTTGCTAATGTGTTCCTTGATTGATTCTGTTTACAGGAAGCGGTGCGTTCTGGGGTCCACAGGACAGTCCACGCAGGGGAGGTGGGTCCGGCATCCGTGGTGAAGGAGGTAAGCTGTTCAACAATAACACGAGACATTTCTGGGCAGGGTGGTGGAGTCATCTGAGAACTCATAACAGCCACAAAACAATGAAGTCACGCAGTAACAATAGCGATGACCAAACCGGCTATTAGGGGCAGAGATCCAAAAGAAACAAGAAGAATGAGAATACCAGAGATTTATGTTTGTTGTTGATGGTTTTAGTCAGTAAAGTGAAAGTTCTTATTTCAGTGTTCAGTAATAAAAGCAAAAAGGAGCACACATACAAACACATATGTGCAGACTGTTTGTGTACATCTCAGCCGCTATGTCTTGAAACCTTTAAAGTAAAACTAGAGTACGTCTCACTGGACGGTGGCTGCCATAATGAGTGGACACTCTCTAAGGAAGCCATCCCTCAAAGTGACAGCTCAGCTATGCCACAACAGTTGCGCATGTGCCTCTAGAAATAGCCCGCAGATTCTGCTGAGATGTACAACGTGGAGGATTTTTTTTTTGTGGTTTATAACCTTTTGCTTCCACCTCGTGACCCCTGTCACGATATTGTAGGCCGTGGAAGTGCTGAAAGCCGAACGTGTTGGACACGGTTACAGAACCCTGGAAGACCAAGCCCTGTACAAAGACCTGCTTAAAAAAGACATGCACTTTGAGGTAAGGGACTGTCCACAATTATCACCATTTACATCAAAAAGCTGAATTATCAGCAAGGTTATTAAGTTCTGCAGAAACGTGCCTGTTATCCATTAAACATTACGGTGCTCTTATTCATCATTACACACTCATCATTTGGATCATTGCAGATGATCAGGTAATTATAGTTGTGTAGTTGACTGACATACTATTAGTGTACCTACCCACAGGAACACAGTGATACGCTGACCCCTAGTGGAGCATTAGGTATCACAGCTGGAAGAAGAAAGACTGCAGTAATTACGTTTCTCAGTGCTGCCTCTGCTGTTCTGATTGCAGGTGTGTCCTATTTCCAGTAAGCTAACAGGTGCCTGCCTCCCAGACTTCACCAAGCATCCTGTGATCACGTGAGCTG